CGGGCATTTGATGATAGGCACGGCGGAGATCGTGGAAAACGTTGTGCAGCCGTAGAGAGTATGCGTGTAGTCATGTAAGTGCGGTAAGGGATACCTGTCGGGCTCGGTGTCAAGATTGACAAGTATAATTTTATTTGTGTATGTTTTAATTGCTGATCTATTTGCTACGTAAGGAAAGAAATTTCGGTCGGGATTTTTTTGTTGTACATTCGTAGGAGGAACTACACTAATTTCAGCCCCGGTATCCACTAAAAACTTGAGTTTCGAATTTTTGTATTTTATTATTAAGCGGCGGTTCTTGTTGTTGAGCCTATCGTCGACCGCCATTGATGATAGGCATTTAAATTTAAATTTTTAGAGCAAGGGCGGCGACACTTTTTGGAATCAGTACCAAATTTATGGTGATACCAACACAAACCATCTGGGGCTTTGCGGAATGATGAACGTGATGATGACCGATACTTTGATCGGCTTCGGTAACGACGATTGTTTGCCGCTTTTAAGGCACCTAGTTCTTTCGTACTGGCGTTCAATGTTTGATTGCGAATTTGTAGCTGAAGATAGCTTTTCTAAAGCGGTCACTTGTGGTGCATCACTAACCTCGCTGACCTTGTCCGCCAGTAGTGCAACCTTGTCGAGTGGCTCAGTGCTAATAGAGATAACAGATCGTATGTTAGAGGGTAGGACGCTTAACCAAATCGATTTTAGAATACTGTCATTGATTTCTTTGCCGGCTAGATCGCGCATTTCGCGAAGAAGGTGTGAGGGACGCATGTCGCCTTATTCAAGTTCTTGTAGTAACTTTTTTACCCGCCTTTGTTCTGAATCTGCGAATTGCGTAATTAAACGCTCTTTTAAAGACTGGTACAAATCAGTGTTTGGAGGATTTAGTATTATATCGCTAACTTGAGCTAGAACATTGCTCTCCATGGCGGCTACGACGGTGTGATCCAAAGTTCTGGTTTGGCATGCCAAACCGGAGGAATTTTGACCGAAACTTTAGCAAGTTCTGGGAATTGTCCTCTGGAAACATTTTGCGGATCGAAAATGGACGGCCTTGTGCGGCTTCCGTCATATTTCCTTCCTCTTTACTCATTTCGACGTTGGGGTTACCAATATGCGGCTGTTCAAGGAAAACAACGGTCTGCTGACTATCTTAGAAAACTTTATTAAAAATACTTAGCTACTAAATCCACATGTGGTTTGTAAGACGATTCCAGAAAGAAGAAGGAAGGTAATCAAAAGTCAAAAAGGATTCTCTATATCGAAAAGTGACTGACATTTTAAGCGAATGATGTTGCCATCCGATTCCGAATATATTTGCTTGCTGGTAGGATTGTAATCTTAAATTTATTCGTGCGCATGAACTGAAGGTTATGCCACAAGGCAATAGGCCGGTCGGTTTTAAATTACGCAGTACCAGTGTGGTCGCCGGGGCCTAGTAGGACGCAGTGGATGAAGCTGCAAACGACTCAAAACACTGCACTTCGGACAGCGACTGGATGTTTTCTGATGTCGCCAGAACATCACCTGCACGACGAGGCGAAAATGCTCCCCATAAAGGAGCACAACACAATGCTCTGCAAGCAATTCCTAGTAGGGAGCTACAGACGTGGACACCCGAACGGACACTTGCTTGCAGACGAGCCCTCGCCAAGGTAGGTCAGAAGGCATCTTTACGAACTGCCAAATGAGAGTCCGGCATGCAACATCTCTTCGCATGCCCGGAAAACCCGACGCAGCTAACGCCTTTGTCCCTGTAGACCGACCACATTGAGGCTGCACGCTTCTTGGGGCTTCCGTGAGTTGAGCTTGACGACAACGACTGAGATATTAACCGATCTGGGCGGGGTTGTTGTAGCCGCTACAATAACAACAACAACCACTTCGGTACGTTAATTATAGGCAATTCAATCAAAGTGTATGAATTTTGAAAATGAAACTTTGGCTTGTAATATCTATGGAATGCGTCAATTGTTATAAACAGGACGATATATCAAATTAAGGGTTATTAAATTTAGTACCTCACGTTCATTTATCATTTTTCAACATCTCTACAAGTTTTTAAGATATTAAGATAAAACTTACAAAGCTATAATTTTCCCTTATGAATTTTCAATTCTTCATTACTTCAGCCACCAAGTGAAAAATGCAAAAAAGTGAGACGCGATTTATTTCAAACGTTTTAATGTCTTCGGATGTTTATTTAATATTAAGAGGGCCATGAGTATGGTCACGCCAATTTGGTCAGTTTTCAAGATCGTGGGGAATGAAGTCAGACATGTATTGTCAAAGATTAGGAATCGTGTGATAAGTTAATAGTAGTTTCAAGCATATAAGTATTTACAAACATTAACATAATACAATTAGGGTGATAAACGCCCATTTTAAGTATATTTATACTGTCTTGAAAATTGGTGCGGAATGGTTTCATTAGTCACCGAAGAAGCACATTTTTCGGGGTTTCTAAATTTGCCCTTATATGAAAGTAGGGGACCAGTAATAAGTGTTTAGATATCCATAAATATTTAAGGTTATTCTATTATGTGAAAAAGTTACTGTAGGTAAATGCAATAGTCTTTATCATATCCTGGGAAATCCTTTTGAGCACTCTCCAATTGGACGATATTGCTTCGCATTCAGCTTCAACGAAAAGAGTCACTCCCTGGCACACTTTTCTGTAATCCGGTTCTTTCATTTAAAAGTTATTTATACAATTGAAGAGAAATTTAGTTAGAAAAAACTGGAGATCCACTTAAGTCTTTCGATATATTTTTGGTAAATGTTACTCGATCGGTACGTAGTAATTACCAAATTGAATGCGAGACTTACTGTTACTGATTTATGATAATATGATGAAAATGTTCAGATTATAAACAAATTATTTTAAAATAAAAAAAAAAAATTGAACAACATTTTTTTAAATTTTTCTATATTTGCAATTTTTACATAGTATGCATAAACATAAGTAAACTAATTAGTGTTTTTAGAAGTTGTGCCTGTTCAGTGTTTCCATACACAATTGCATAAACCAAATTTTTCTACGATGATGGAAAATAATGGCTTTTTTATTAGAGCTACCGAAACTGTTCCTATATTTGCAAAAATTCGTAAACTATAGCTAATATTTAACAAAGATTAGAACATTTGGAACCAGCGACCTAAATGCACGCCAGCAGTATTAATACTGTTCTTTACATCTTTTGACTATAGGCAGGGCAATTCTCAAGAGAAAAATTACAATTTTATTGAAAAAAGATAACTTTGAGATTAACGATAAGCTAAAAGGCTGCGATAAATGATATTTGTTTGTATATTTTGCGTTAACGGATTCATTATCTAATAATATGCACCAAACCTTTTTGCTGAACCCAGAATTTTTAACAAGGATTGGTCTTATTCGACTAGTGTGCTGTGTGTCACTTGGCGGTCGGTGCGCGGGCTCTTACAATTAAAATAAAAGACTAATATTTTGCAGGCTTGTTGTTGACTTCATGATACAATATATTTTCACTATTACCAAGGGATTTGAGAAAAATTAGATTTTCGACCCGCCCTAATGTGCATTATGCGTGCCTTTGATCGTTTCTCTGTATTTCACTAACTCCCTGTGTGAGGATACCAAATA